CCTCCCCCGCCGCTTCCTCCCCTTCCTGTCCACAGGCATGTGTTTCCTCCGCCAGACTCGCCCCTGGCCTGATTCCCACCTCGTTCCCCCCTTGTGTCTCCTCCTCTGTCTCCTGACCCGACGCCTCCGTCTCACGTCTGGTCTCGCCGTCCCTTTCGTGCTCGTCCTGTCTCTCCTATTTTTCTTTGTTCCCACGTGTCTCATCCTCCCCTCCTCCCGTCTCCTCCTCCGTCGTCGCTCGCTGTCGCGCCTCCCCCTCTGTCTGACTACCTTCGTGCTGCTCATCCTCTTGTTCCTCAAGTCCTTGCCTTCCTCGTTACCGATCCGTCTGTTCCTTCCTCGAGTCTTGACGCTCTTGTCGCTGCTGTCGGTGACTTTGCCTTTACCCGCCGTATTGACTACGCCACAGCACTAGTGTGTGGCCCTACCTGACCTCCATCCGTCGGGGGTGCTCCTTCCCTTGGCTGTGACGTCCTAAAGGACAGGTAGTACGAGCTTGCTTTCCTGTTTGAGGCTGCTCCCCATCTCTGCTCCATGCTGCTAGTCCCTAAGGGTGACCCAGACACCTTTGACATCCCGACCCCTCGCACTTACGCTGAGGCGTCCTCGGGACCCTGGGCCTCTCAGTGGATAGCTGCCATGGAGCAGGAGATGGCATCTTGGAGATCCACCGGCACCTACATCGACGCAGTTCCCCCACCTGGGGTGAACCTAGTCAATGGCTGCTGGCTCTTCAAGGTGAAGCGCTCTCTTGGAGAGCCGCACGTCTTCAAGGCGCACTACGTGGCTAGAGGCTTCAGTCAGCGCGAGGGTGTGGACTTCTTTCAGACCTTCGCTCCGACCCCGAAGATGACTACTCTTCGGGCGTTGCTACACGTAGCAGCACAGCATGACTATGAGCTCCACTCCCTCGACTTCTCCACTGCGTTTCTTCAGGGCAGCCTACACGAGCAGGTCTACCTTCGCCGTCCAAAGGGCTTCACCTGTACCTTCCCTCCTGGGACCCAGTGGCTTCTCCGGCGCCCAGTCTACGGCCTGCGACATGCGCCGTGTGAGTGGCAGACCCCTCGCTTTTTGTTCGTGCTGGCCAGACTCCGTTCTACATCCTTGTCTACGTAGACGACCTTATCTTCGCTACTGCAGACATAGATGCACTGGCCTCTGTGAAGGCCGAGCTACTGAGGAGACACACCTGCACTGACCTAGGAGAGCTGTGCCGCTACCTTGGCCTGCAGATCTCCAGGGACAGAGGAGCGCACACCATCATTCTCACACAGTCACACTTGGTGCGCCAGGTCCTACAGAGGTTCGGTCTTTAGTTCTCCTCAGCACAGCCTACATATCTACCAGTAGACCACAGGCTCTCAGCTCCTGTTCCTACGGAGTCTGGAGAGCCGAGTGGTCCTTATGCAGAGCTGGCTGATTGCCTTATGTACCTGATGACTTGCACTCATCCAGGTCTCGCATACCCTCTCACCATCCGAGCTCGCTTTGTGGCCACAGGCAGACAACGACCACAACACTGGTCGGCCGCTAAGAGGGTTTTGCGTTATCTAGCATGTACATCGGGCATGGGGCTAGTACTGGAAGGACGCAGGCCAATGGTCCTTACTTGGCACAGTGATGCTTCTTGGGAAGACGACGCTGAGACCCTCAGGTCCTCTCAGGGCTATTGCTTTAGCCTTGGTGCAGGCGCGGTCTCGTGGAGGTCCACCCGCTCGTCGTCTGTTTCACAGTTGAGCTGCGAGGCTGAGATCTACGCTGTTGCCATGGCGGCACAGGAGCCCCGCTCGCTGACTTTCTTGCTCACAGACTTAGGTGAGTGGCCTAGCTTTGCCCCTGTTATGTACGCTGACAACAGGGCCATGATCCTCCTCTGTCAGGAACCTCGACTGGAGGGCAGAGCGAAGCACATCCAGCTACGGTACTTCTTCCTGCGCGAGCTACAGCAGTGTCGCTAGGCCCACGAAGTACACTTGGCCTCTGGTGCCAATACAGCTGATATCTGTACTAAGGCGCTTGCGCCTAAAGATTATCAGCGGCACTGTTTGCAGCTTGGTCTGGTTCCTGTAGCTACTCACTTGCTAGGACATTGATTGTGTACTTCTCGTTATATATACCTTTCTGACTGGTCTGTACTGAACGACAGAGTGCGGCGGGAAGCAGTGGTGTGTGGTGTGGTACAGTGCAGTGCAGTAGATTGCAGTAGAGTGGGGTGCAATACGGTAGGGTGCGGTGCAGTGCTGTGCAGGGCAGTGCAGGGCGGTGTAGTGCGGTGCAGCGTGGTGCAGTGCTGAGGAAACGGTCGATGAAGCGAGATGGGAGCCGCAAGGGCCACGAGGATGCTGGGCGGCAAGGGCGCAGGGCGGCTGGTCAACAGGGGTCGCGTGGCAGCTAGGAGACGGGGCCGCGGGCGGCAAGGCGACGGGGCCGGCTAGGCGGCTGGGCCGGCTGGGCGACTAGGCCAGTGAGGCGATGGGGCCGGCTGGGCAACGGGGCCGGCTGGGCAATGAGGTCGGCTGGGCAACGAGGCCGGCTAGGCGAAGGGGCCGACTAGGCAACGGGGCTGGCTGGGCGACGGGGCCGGCCAAGCGACGGAGCCGGCTAGGCAACGGGGCCGGCTAGGCAACGGGGCCGGCTGGGCGACGGGGCCGCCGAGGCGACGGTGCCGGCTAGGCAACGGGGCCGGCTAGGCAACGGGGCCGGCTAGGCGACGGGGCTGGCGAGGTGACGGGGCCGGCTAGGTGACGGGACTGGCTAGGCGACGGGGCCGGCTGGGCTACAGGGCCGGCTAAGCGACGGGGCCGGCTATGCAACAGGGCCGGCTAGGCGACGGGGCCGCCTAGGCGACGAGGCCGGCTGGGCGACTGGGCCGGCTGGGCCACGGGGCCAGCTAGGCGCTATGTGACAGGGGGCCACTAGAGGACGTGTGTGTGCGTGTGTGTGTGTGTGTGTGTGTGTGTGTGTGTGTGTGTGTGTGTGTGTATGTGTGTGTGTGTATGTGCGTGCGTGCGTGCGTGCGTGCGTGCGTGCGTGCGTGCGTGCGTGCGTGTGCGTGTGTGTGTGTGTGTGTGTGTGTGTGTGTGTGTGTGTGTGTGTGTGTGTGTGTGTGTGTGTGTGTGTGTGTGTGTGTGTGTGTGTGTGTGTGTGTGTGTGTGTGTGTGTGTGGTGTGTGTGGTGTGTGTGTGTGTGTGTGTGTGTGTGTGTGTGTGTGTGTGTGTGGTGTGTGTGTGTGTGTGGTGTGTGTGTGTGTGTGTGTGTGTGTGTGTGTGTGTGTGTGTGTGTGTGTGGTGTGTGTGTGTGTGTGTGTGTGTGTGTGTGTGTGTGTGTGTGGTGTGTGTGTGTGTGTGTGTGTGTGTGTGTGTGTGTGTGTGTGTGTGTGTGTGTGTGTGTGTGTGTGTGTGTGTGTGTGTGTGTGTGTGTGTGTGTGTGTGTGTGTGTGTGTGTGTGTGTGTGTGTGTGTGTGTGTGTGTGTGTGTGTGTGTGTGTGTGTGTGTGTGGGTGTGTGTGTGTGTGTGTGTGTGTGTGTGTGTGTGTGTGTGTGTGTGTGTGTGTGTGTGTGTGGTGTGTGTGTGTGTGTGTGTGTGTGTGTGTGGTGTGTGTGTGTGTGTGTGTGTGTGTGTGTGTGTGTGTGTGTGTGTGGGTGTGTGTGTGTGTGTGTGTGTGTGTGTGTGTGTGTGTGTGTGTGTGTGTGTGTGTGTGTGTGTGTGTGTGTGTGTGTGTGTGTGTGTGTGTGTGTGTGTGTGTGTGTGTGTGTGTGTGTGTGTGTGTGTGTGTGTGTGTGTGTGTGTAGTAGTAGTAGTAGTAGTACTTCCACAAGTTGGATATTGCGTTTTTTCAAAGCGCGAACTCACTTTCTGCTTTAGTGTCTGATATGTCAGAATCAACGATGCAGAGAATAGACGAGCATATATGTTTTTGAAAGTAGCTCCGTGCATGGCTTTGGATAGCAAAAGGTTGTGTGTTGATGGAACTTGTGGGATAGCTTCCATTATTATGAGGTTGTTCCCACCCCCCCCCCCCCCCCCCCGGGTTATTATCGCGTTGCTTTTGAGGGATCATGAAATCACCAAATCAGGTACTTAGCTTCCGCTGTTTCTGACGGTTGAACCTAGTATTGAGGGAGCATTCAGGTATGTTGGAGTTTATTCGCACCTGAATGCTCTCCTGCCCGATATACTGTACTGTATCAGCACAAAACACCTGGACAGTTCCGACCACATAACGCCCGCACTTGTAAGCTCCAGAACAACACTTTACTGTACCGCAATGGACACCGAGGCCAACGTGGCCCACTAGCGACCGCTTTCCTCCTGGAGAGCAGTTGTCTTGTAACGGCATGTGCTCCATTTACTTGCAGGCCATGAGTCATGACCGGTTGGCGGATGTGTTCGGGGAAAAGTTCGTGATTGGACAACTCGCCGTCATGACCGACAAACGGCCACTTCCTCACCGTTTTCACCTAACGGCCTACCGACATCCCTGACGTGACATGTCAGGAGGGCGAACCAAATGGATATCAAAACTACCCATGGTGCCCAGGGTTGCACACGTACTTCAAATGTGCGAGGTTTGACTTTCAGGTAAACAGGAGCACCCAGCACAAGATGTCAAACCATTCTCGGTCTACCAGTTCGGTGCCAATTTGGGGACAGAACAGACGACGGTACTACAGACAGGAAAACCTCTCCTAAACCATGCCACCTATTCACATTTGACGGGTCTACGGAAATCAGAACATTGGGGAAAAAAAATCCCTGCCCACCTTGGGGCAACAGTGAAGAACGTGTGCGATGCGTCGTGATTGGTGAAGGCCGTGGGAGCAGCATTGCGCTGCACCCAGCATGAACCCTGCAGCAAAGCCACCAAACCAGCACACCTGCTGCAGCTCAGGTGGTCACCAACCGCGTCTCCTTTTCCAACCCAACCAACAACATTGGCCCCTCCCCAACCCAATAATCTCAACAGATAAAACACCCTCTACTCTCTCTCGTATCCACATCCCACGAACCAAGTTCAATCTCAAGCAAGCACAGTCAATTCGGTAGACACTTCTAAGGACCAACGGTTTTGCACCAACCTTCGACCATCATGGCCAGGCTTACCATCGTCCTCGTCTGCATCGCTCTTCTCCTCCTAAGTACGCATTCCCAGCTTTCCTTGTAGCTAACATTTTTTTGTCGCCGCCATTGCTGTCCAGCGTTTTCAGGGAATGAAGGCACATAACTCACGAACCGTAGGCGTTTTTCTTTTCCCGATCCGATCGCTTACCGCGCCGCTTTCTCCCGTTCCTCCTGAATCTTACAGGAGCTGAGGCTAAGGGCCCGCCCCCCGGCAAAGGGCCCGATAAGGGCGATAAGGGCGACACTGGCAGCACCGGCAGCACCGGCAGCACCGGCAGCACGGGCAGCACCGGCAGCACTGGGACCACTGGTGGCTCTGACAAGGGCAAGGACAAGGACAAGAACGGAGGAGGTCCCGGTCCCAAGCCTGTTCCTAAGAAGCCCTTCAAGCCCGTTGTGCTCGGTGAGTGATTTTCGCGGGAGACACGCAGGCGTTGAGATCCCACGCCTTGTTTTGGCTTCGAATCTTCCGCTTAACTTTCGTCCTTGCATTCATCGTTAGCTTCAGCACCGAACGTATCCCCGGCTCACAATTTCTGTTCCTAAATTATTTTCTGTTACTGTATTTTTTACCACAGCTCGCTACATGGGAACTGTGCACCCGTGCAAGCCCCTCCCCTTCGTGCGGGGCTCCATCGTCGCGAACGTCATGTCGACCGACGACAACACGACCAACTCCATGACCTACGGCCTCCTCGTGTCCGGAACCGCCGAGCCGCCCACCGTACAGGGGATTTACAGCACGGATCCGTGCGATCCGCTGGTCGAGCAGAAGCTGGTGACCGATTTGAACGGAACGTGGGTGAACGTGCCCCAGAAGCCGTCCAGGAAGAACAGGAGCCCTCCCCAGGTGTACACCCTGAGCAACACTGTCAATGAGACCGCTCTGCCGCAGCCTCGCCCTGACGGTGCTCCCAAGGGGAACGCCTGGGGCAAGGTCTGGAAGATGCAGCCCCTTTATGTGATGATGTTCGTTAACACTACCGCGGGTAACGGCACTGTTGCTGGCAAGTTCATGCGGAACAAGTAGACGGGGTTGGGTGAGGGTTTTGTGTTAATTATTAGCCCTGCAGCTTCAGAAGACGTAATATCTTACATTGTTTTTTATTATTTTATTTCTATACAACCAAATATGAACGTTGCTATTGCTGTTTTTATCATTACGTGTTTTAAGTACATAGCAGCAGCAGCTCCTGCCGAGAGTGAATGGGCTGGCTGTGTAAGTCGAGCGCGGCTTAGCCGCCATTCGTCCTGCATTAAAGCGCGTGGTCCAAGAAAAATCAAGACTCAAAGTCTTTGATTCTTGGCCGCTCGCGAAGCCCAACCTGAGTACACAATGTTACCCTGAAACCCAGCAACAAGAGGTATATCTTGAACGACGAGAACTGATTGGTCGGGGCCCCAACCACAGCGGGGGTGCGACTGCAAGCGTCAAACCTGCAACCAGCAACGACACGAGGGTGGATCAAGACTCAAAGTGGGGCTATTTTGCATGGCGGCGCGGCTTTAGTATTTGTGATTTTGTTATGTTTGAACATTCCCCTTCACGCGCTCGAAACTGAACGTTTTTTTTATGGTCGCCGAGTGTCGCCAGCCCAAGTCCCTCCCTTCGCCCAACCTCCCTGTCGCTCGTCGTTTCGCCCCCACCTCGCGAAGTTGGCGAGCGGGACCAAGAATCAAAGACACTGAGTCTTGGTCTTACTCGGGTCACGCGCTTTAAACATAAGAGTAGCATATGTGCATTCGTGTCATGATGCAGACAAACATTCCTGATATTAGCGTCCTGGAAAAACTGGAATAAATAATTCTAGGGAGCAAGCAAATCTCAGGGTGGTGAAATGCTAGGTCACGACTTGCGGAGGTGCCCTCCCCCAAAGGCGAACAAACGAGACACGATATGTCATGTATTGTAAGAGAGCTCATGAGATCATCCACTCTCTGATCTACATTACCGCATCTGTTAACGAAACCGCGGATCTGCCTTGCTCTGCCAGCTCAAGTCGGTCGCGGCGAAAATCTTCGGGCTGTGCAGTTGCCACCTCCAAACAGAGCCGCAGCACCTGAGCAGGCCTCTCGCTAAGCCCTAGGGGATTCCGTTAGGGGACGGAATCGACCCAGAATTACCGGTTAACGGACGGAATCTACAGAAAATTACACGTTAGCATACGGATTCGCCGACGAGCTACCCTTCGTGCTCTACTACCATCCTCAGACTGAGCACCTTCGCCACAGCTCAGGAAGAGGCGAGGTAAGATTCAAGGTGTGCTGTGCCTTAGAAAGTCGGGAGAGTGGATTTTTTTCTGCTCTGTTGTCTACAAAACAGCAGGTAGAAAGATAGTGCACTCATGGCGAGGAACTGGAGGGGAGTAGTGGGGGGAAGCGGGTGTTAAATACAGTAAGAACGGAAACAAAAGAAAGTAGCCCGTAATGTTAAGGAATCACATGGAATCCAATCCGTTATGTGGACGGAATCAGGAGATTTTAACTCGTCAAAAAAAAAAAAAAAAAAAAAAACAAACAAACAAACAAACAAACCGGAATCCAGCGGGAAACAACTCATAATTTCTTGACATTAAAGCGAGGATCTCAAAGAGGCGCGAAACCAAATCCGAAGGTTTTGGTTTCGGGTTGACGAAATGAGCGAAACCGTAACAGCAACCCCCCAACACCCCTCACCACACCTCGCAATTTTCGCGACCCCTCGAAACCAAAACCTTTGGGTTTGGTTTTTTGCTTCTCGAGACCCTCGCTTTAAGGGTAATTCCTCTTTTAGAGAGAGGCCTTCACCTGAGGTCACGCATGGGATGATTCAGGCCATGCGATTTGGTTGGATGCCAGACAGCCAGCCATCGCCAGCGGCACAAAATAATGTACACATCGTTTCGCCAACCAATATTACAAGAAGCCCAACGCTGGTCACACCTTTTCAACGACACCAGCTGTCGAATTCGACGTGAACCAGTTTCCGTCAGGAAGAATGCAACTGGTGGATAGGTTAGTGGCCAGGTGTCGTGACGTATCATTTGCCTGGACAGCCCATAACTCGGTGCCTGATTCGTCATAGTTCGCACAGATTGCTTTGCACATGAAACTTGATTCTCGCGAACTTCTATTCACCAACAGCAATGGTTGGTTATGTTTCGCCAGAGGGAACCAGGTTCGCCATCTAATTTTCGCCAGGAGAATCCTATCTTCACCACTCACTCTTTGCCAGGTACGTATTTGCTGGGTGTAGCCCCTCGTGCTTTCTTCGTCGACCGCGTCTTTCATTTTCTCCCACCGAGGTTGTTCCCCCACAGGAGCTCCTAGCGTTTCGCTGTCCCAGGCCAGCCCCTTCCCCAGGTAGCCCCCCAGTATTTCTACCCTCGAGGCTCAGTTCAAGAAACCATCATCGCTACAAAACATCATCTATCAAGAAGCCTTGTCCTGCACTCGCCATTCAAGTTTCCGGTCCTCTTTATCTAGCTCATTCACCCTTTTCTAGCTCGTCCAGGCAGCTGTTTTCGAAATGGCGCGTTTCTTGGTTTTCTCCATCACTATTCTCCTAGCCTGTTCGCTCGTCGTAGCTCACGACGAACGAGGCGGTGGCAGAGACGGCGGAAGGGGAGGCGGACGCTGGCGGCCGTCGCCATTGGCGCGCTACGAGACCAACATGCGGCCGTGCGTCGGCTGGGCTCCCATTCGCGGAGCCGCGATGATCGATGTCCTTACCACGCAGTAAGTACTAGCCGCTCTAGCGTGGTTTTGACGGGCCGCAAAACTCAAAAGTTTTGAGGTGCCTCAAAAGTTATTTGCGGAGCCGCAATGGTCGACGTCCTTGCCACGCGGTAAGTAGTAGCCGCTGTAACTAGCCTGGTCTCCACATAATGAGTTCCGCTACGATTAACGTCCCGCTATAGCAACGACTTGTCCGCATGGCGAATTGCGATAGTGATTTCGTCGCTTTGGAAGCATAGTCTAGATCTAAACTCTTTCTTCCTTCCATCTTCATCTTCCGTTGTCGTCTCTCACCGTGGTCTCTTTTCACCTACTTCCTGGTTTCGCGTTTCCCTCATTGCTTGTTCTCAGAACCACGGGAACGAACGAGATTCGCTACGGCCTCATGGTTCAGGGTGTCGCCGCGCCTCCCGCGAAAATGACCGTCTACTCCACCGACCCCTGCGACCCTCTGGTTACCTCTCCCAAGAAACTCGTCGAGCTTTCGGGAAAGTGGTACAACATTTCGCCTAGACGTGGCCCTACGAGTTTCACCATGAGTGGTTCGGTGCTGAGCAGTGCTCTTCCGGTCCAGACGACCTACTCTCGCGGAAGGGGTTACCAGGTTCCAGTTTTCATCTCCTTCGCCATAAATTCGACGATGAACAGCACTATTGCTGGAAAGTTTCGACGTGACTATTAGATTGGGGGGTGGGGGGATGCTATGCGACTTCTAAAGCGTTCCCATTCAGTGGGGAGTAGGGGGAGGGAAGGGGAGAAAGAGGAGTGGGCTAACCTGACCCGACCCGAGCCATGCGGGGGCTAGGGTTACCAGACTTTGCATGCAGCAAGACTTTTGGCGTGAATGTCTTGATGTGGAGTTAATAACGGCTGGGCTGCTGCTGGCCGTATTTATTATATTATTTTATTCAGTCCTCAATATTTGTACAAAGATGGGAACCAGCAACAAGACAACCTACCCATCAAGCAACATTTGGCAGAACCCACATCCAGCAGCTAAATTACCCTACACCCACATAAATTACCCTATTTGCTAGAACAACGTGAGAGCTGACCGCATAAACCACGTCCTCTTCCTCTTGACTTCCGACAGTTTCATGTTTCCAATTGCCACTTGAGAGGTGGCTGCACCATGCCGCACCATCCCCCGCAAGACTTGGAAAGCCAAATAGGTACCATAACGGCCGCTATAGTTTGAAGGGAGAATCGTCTGATGGAAGGGGTGAGCTGTACCTGACGGGTGCACGTCAGCGGACCCTCATTGTTATGCACGCATAGAAAGTGACGCCGACGGCGACAGAAACGAAGAGAATTGCGACGGTAACCAGCAGGAACTGCGACCAGGCGAGCGTGGGCGGACAGCTCGTCGCGCACTCGTAGCGGATATAACGGTCTGAAAGAGCGAGGGTAGAATGGAAAACAGATACGGATGGAGCAGTTGGATGGTGGTTTGGGAAAATAGAATCTGGATGGCAGTAGCGGACACGCGAATATTCATCACAGCCAGTTTTACAGCGGGTGCGTGAGCGCATATTGATGCGGATTTTTCGGTCTAATACTTCGCAAAAGCGTGATTGCGAAAGCTTGGGGATAGAGCGGCAAGCGTTGTTGGAAGATAGGGCACTCACACGAGGGGCTCCAGGCGAGTCTGTGTAAAATGAGTCTAATTTTGAGTCGACTCAAGAGTAAAGATTGAGTATATTACACACGGAAGGGCAAGCGTTGTTGGGAGATAGGGGTCACTCACACGAGGGGCTCCATGCGGGCCGGAAAAACGCGTTACACGATGAGGGTGTGTCGGCCACGCATGTCTGTCGGTCGGACGAACGCAACAGGGAGGCACAGGAAACAACGGGAACGGGAAACGATGCGGAGTGCGAACACAATATGCATAAGTGAGATGGCATTTGATGAAATGCGAGCGCAGTTCACGGGAGCGAAACAGATCTAACGGCCGTGAAATAATCGACTAATGTAGTAAGTAATGTACGTGAAAAAAGGAACGTAGCGTGCAATGTTTGACACGTTTCGCGTTGGCGTGCTCCGTTCCGCGCATGGTGCACGCTGCGATGCACGACGACGCAGTGGGCTGTGCTTGAGGCGGCTACAAAATTATTTTCTGGACGTAGTTTGACGCGCGACGACGCTGCGTGCGTTGGGCCCACCGTGCAATGTTTGACGCATTTGGCATTTGCGTACTCCGTCCCCGGCACCGTGCACGCCGTGATGCACGACGACGCTGCGACCCGCGCCGCGAAGCACGATGCGATGAGCACGAGGAGAAAGACTAGCACGGGGCGTTCCATGGAGGCGGCTACAGTGGCTCCGTGAGGCTACTACGAGGATTGCTCGGTTGTGAATTTCGGGCGGAGGACGGCGGTGCGACGAATAAAAGGGTGCTGTGGGAGGAAGTGCTTGCGTCAAGGCATGCAGGAAGAAAGTGTCAGTCTATCCGTGGGCCGAATAAACAGGAAATCGTCGTAGGAAGACACAGTATGCGATATCGTGGATGCTTGGACGAGGTGGGGATACGCTATAGTGAGACACGTTGTGAGGAGCGCACGTGTTGGCGAACGGACATTCAGACGATAGAAACGTAGGCTGCGTGGGAAAGCACGCATTCAAACATGGCTTCAAACGACGGAACCTCCACCTTCGCCGAACTCCTAACCTCCTCACTCGCCCAGCTGAGGATAGCCTATTGACACACCGAACTGCGAAATTTACCAAGGGCTAGAGAATCCCAGGCGTGCTGCTTCTCCTGCCTCTGGCTAGCCAGTGCGAAAGGCTTTCTTGCTCTGAGTGCTTGGGTGGGGGTGTCACTGTCCATAGTTAGCGGCTGTCGAGGACAACCCAGGGCCCGCTCGCCCGCATCGTGGTTTTGTGTTGCGTGCGTTAGGGCGTGTCCAGCGCGTATGTTTGATTGCGGTCGGGTGAGGTGACTCACGGATCAGAAGGGTCGATAACAAATCTAAAAAGGTTGGGTAGGGTTTTGACCAAAAACGAACGTTGCGGGGGATGGTTTCCCAACGTAGATTTGTGCCCAGCGCCCAGCGCACGACGGGAAATCAGGAGCGAATGGTTGGAGGTTCGGTTTGAAATTCCTCACGAAGCGCGTGCGGCGCGATTTCGAAAATCCGGCATGCAAGGCCAGACCTGGTGGTGTGGGGTGGTGCTGTCACCAGTTTGGAAACAAAAGCTGGTGTCCCCAGGGATTTTTTCGGTTCCCCTGGGCAAAGCGAGGAAAATCGCGATAGCCATGCCTAAGGGCGTGTAACATGTTCTCGAACAGCTTCCGAACCGAGCATTCATCGAGCTGTACCATTAGTTTTATAGTCTAAAACGCAGTACAACATGCCATACCGCTTTTAACCTCTCTGAATGGTCGACCCTGAGGCGTGTTCGTAAAAAATGTTACACGCCCTAATGGAATTGTCAGATTCCTGGTCACTGGTCACGGACGGGCGTTGCCGAGTCCACAATTTGCCAACAGCACCCAAGCAGCCCTGAAACAAATTGAGGGGCAGCAAAAGTGTAGGGGTAATATTAAAATCTCTGTGCCAGCCGGGAATCGAACCCGGGTCTGCACCGAACAAGATGGCAGGGTGCTATTCTACCACTAGACCACTGGCACGTGTCATCCATGCATAGCAAAAACGTTTATTAATATTGTAAAATAAAAACAAAAGCTGTGCTGCACGTCCCCCTGAATTTGAAGCCCTTACAGCTGGCCACTTCAGCCAAAGTTGCTCCCCCTCCTGCTGCACCAACCTTCAGATTCCCTTTCCCGAATCCCAAGCCATTCTGAACTGAATCCCCTCCATAGTTCGCTCACGCTCAACTGCATGCCGCGCGTTCCAGAGTCTGGTTGCCCTCCGAAGCTGGGAAGGATTCCCTAGAGATCTCCGACTTCAAGCTGGAACCCAGAATTCGCTCACGAGATTCCCGTGTGATGGGCTTCCAAGCAACACGAACGAGTCCCGCCGCAGGTACCCTCGCCCTGCAACTGGTAACGCTGTTATTGATGCTCGCCTTCCTACCTGACAATTTCCATGCTAAGGATAGCTTGCGACTATATTTCGAGGGAGAGTGAACCCTTTTCAATATTTTGAAAAGATGTCGTTCTTTTATTTCATGCCATTCGTTCTTGTTCTTGGGGCTCTGTGTTCTGTTCAGAATCCCGTGCTGGCGTCGGATGCCATTCAACACAACATCGATGGCGGAGGTGAAGTGTACGAGATCCAACCGCCGGAAAATCCTCATGGTCTTCTCATCTTTAGAGACACCGACTCTGGAATTTCTGGAGTGAGCCGCGCAGATGCTGAGCCTAGGCTAAGCAATCAAGCTGGCGTGTTCAGGTATAGAGGCGGACTGAACATGGCGACCCAAGAACATATTAAGGACGTCGCAGGGTCCAACATCGCTGAGCCGAAGTGCCTGAGAATCACCGCTCAGTACCTGGCCAGGACTGAAGGCTGGCACGCTTGTGCGTATAACAGCTCTGCTGGATACCGTGCCGTCGGCGCTGGGTACAACTTGGATCAGAATCCAGCAGTCATCCTGTCAGATTTCAACCTTATTGGTGCAGATTCTCATGCGGTAAGTTCCACGGACCTGGTCTGGAACATCTTTCGCAGCTACTCAAGCTTAATTCAGCTGCTCAATCTTACAAAATTTGCAGTTAAAACTACTCATGCAGTGTGACAGTGTCTCATTTTCAATGACCGATCTTGCTTGCAGGTGTATACTGGTTCCAAGTGCCTGACAGGTCCTCAGATCAGCAGACTGCTGGAGCTCAGCGTCAGGAGGCTTCTTGCAGCGAAATTGACCTCCGATTTTGCAATTGATGCCAGTAGATTCTGCTGCGACGTTCAGAAGGCCCTTGTGGATGTTCTTCTCACCAGCATGCACCTGGATCTGGATGCATTTTCTTGGTTTCGTAACATTGTGAAGACGTTGACGAGGCATGAGTGGAAAAGAGCTGCCAGGCTGCTGGTAGAGACTGCATGGTGCGCAGCAGACGAGTCAAGATGTGCTGCCGCTGCCATGCTGCTTGCTGCTGGGTGTGGGACTCTTTGATTGACACGAGAGTAGGCTCTGTTGTGCTTGCGTGAAGTGTCTGGAGCGTTGCTCATTGCTTCCGTAATCCCAGTCTGAACACACTCCTCACTCTGATGCCATTTTGACAATGGATGGATAAAGGCGTGTGTCTTACAGTTCCGGAACCCGGCAAGTTCCGGAACTTGGGCTGGTTACACGTGCCGCGGAGCATTTCGATGAGATCTCGTGAATTCCTCCCGGGGCAAAAGTTTCGCGAATTTCGGAACTAGTTCCGAAATTTCCAGAAGCGGAACTGTAAGACACACGCTATACGGGTTTTCGTCCTCAACTGCAAGATTTCTTGTTTCAGTTCCTCCAGTAACGAGGCCTTCTGGTCCAGGTTTTAGGAGCTCATGTTAGGAGTCGGGACGCATTTGCGACAATCCCTTTCTCCGCATGGCGCTCCATCTCGTCCCCTTGCGTATCACTTGTCCGACGTGTCTCATCTCCGTCGTCCGCCACGTCAGCGCACTGCCGAATCGACCGCACTCAGCAGTCCCGTTGAAGCTTCCTTGCCGCCGCAGGATTTGTTCGAAGAGTAGCACCTCAGGTCATTCGAGGGCAATAGTTGCCTTATTCCCTAATCTGAGCGATAGTAACGTCTCCCATAAACTTCCTGGCAACGACAAGACATTTCCAAGAGTACACAATGGGAATGGTAGGGCCTTATTGGAACGTCCCGAGGGTTCAAGCAGAACGAGCAAGCTACACAACGCAATCCACAGGAATCTGCCGTTGATCCTGAGCATCCGCCTGATGGGATAAATCTGACGGCTGGGGATGAACCGCGGGAATGGGTGGGCCTGGCGGCATGGCGAACCGCGGCAATCCGCACAGACACCTTCTGGGGACCTAAGGGTTCTTGTGACCCCCCACCCGGGATTAATAATAATAATAATAATAATAATAATACGCACAATGAAGCGGCTGAAGCGGGAGGCGTCAGTCACGCTGCCACGTGGGATCGGGTCGAGCTTCCTGCCACGCTGGCGGAATGCGGGCGAATGGTGCTGGAATCTCCCGATCCGCGGTTTAAGATCGCCGTCACGCACGCCGCGCACCGCTCGCTCGGTGCGGGTGCGCCGGCGGTAGGCGCGGCGGCTGCGGTAGGCGTGCCAGTAGGCGCGGCGGCTGCCCCGTCAAAGCCTGCGCGGCCGGCAAGACCAGAGCTGGTAAGGGTGGGGGAAAGCAGGACGGAGAAGGTTGCTGCAGTGCAGTCCAATGAGGGTTCAACGACTCCTCTCCCCCCCTTACTTCCCCCCCATTCCCCCCCCCTTTTTCCCCCCCATTGGGTGCATCCTCCGTGCCATCCTGAAGCCCGGCCCCTCCTCCCCCTTACCCATGCCACATGCTGCGCACATGCTGCACATGCTGCGCACATGCCCCTTACCCCGGCACACATGCTGCGCTATCTTGCCCCCGCGGAACGGACCTCCCCCTTATGCCACATTCCGTCATTTCTCCCCCCAACCCTCCCCCACCCTTCCCCAGGTTCACCCACCACGGGCAATCCCCAAGCCCGGCTGCTCCTCCCCCTTAGTCTGGCCCGCGCACATGCTGCACAATCTAGCCCACGTGCAACTTATCCCATCCACTTCCCCCATTGTTCCCCCCACCCCCACCTCCCGCCGTCCCTAGGTGCATCCCCGTGCCATCCCCAAGCCCGGTCCCTCCTCCCCCCTGCCCTGGCCCGCACACATGCTGCACAATCTAGCCCACGTGGAGTTGAACGCTATTGACCTGGCATGGGATACCGTTGTCAGGTTCTCACTGCTGGCGGGGGAGGAGGAGAGGGGGAAAGGGGAGGGGGAGAGGGGGAAAGTGACCCCGGACTGGAAGCTTCCACGTCAGTTCTTCTTGGATTTTGTACACGTGGCAGATGATGAGAGTAGACACCTGGCATGGTGCTTGCAGCGACTGGAGGAGATGGGGTTCAGGTGGGTTGGTCATGCTTCGAGGGATGGTGTACAGGTGGGTCATGCTTCGAGAGATGATGTATGAATGTAAGGGGAATGCTTGTGAAAATTTCCTCTTTCCTTCTCTGCTAAGCTTCTCTCCGCCTCTCCCCATTCTCTCACTCTCTCCTCTAACCCTCCTCTTTTCCCCCTGTCCCCCTGTCCCCCTCCCCCAACCCCTTCCCCCCACCCCTCACCCCCTTCCCCCCATCCTTCCCTTTCCCCCTACCCCTCCCCGTCCCTCCCTGCAGCTATGGTGACATGCCAGCGCACAACCTCCTCTGGAAGGACTGCGAGAAATCGGCCAATCACGTGCAAGACAGGCTGGCAGTCATTCCAATGGTGCAGGTATGGTCGCGACCAATCATTAGGGCACCTACCAATCATTAAGAATTGAGAACAGACCAATCACTAGGCACCAACCGATCATTAAAAACAGTTTAATGACTAGGCTCCTATCGATCATAAAGCACAGACCAATCATTAGGGCACCAACCGGTCATCACATCCATCGGTTGGTTGATTGACCACGTGGCAGAGGCAGGAGAGGAGAAGAGGCGGCTACCCACCTGGCCGTTGGGGTGGTGCTCTGACAACCTTCTGGCACCTAGTGTTGTTGAGGTGATGATTCCTGTTCAGCATGTCATTCTCCTGGTTGCTCTATCCCAACGTGGTTAAGTAGGTTCGTTTTGAGACGTCTCCAAAGAAACCTGCTTGGTATGCTCGGTATGCTTTTCTTGGTATGCTCGGTATGCTTGCTTGGTATGCTCGGTATGCTTGCTTGGTATGCTCGGTATGCTTGCTTGGTATGCTCGGTATGCCTGCTTGGTATGCTCGGTATGCCTGCTTGGTATGCTCGGTATGCTTGCTTGGTATGCTCGGTATGCTTGCTTGGTATTCTCGGTATGCTTGCTTGGTATGCTCGGTATGCCTGCTTGGTATGCTCGGTATGCTTGCTTGGTATGCTCGGTATGCTTGCTTGGTATGCTCGGTATGCTTGCTTGGTATGCTCGGTATGCTTGCTTGGTATGCTCGGCTATTGCTATTGCTTGCTTGCTTGCTTGCTTGCTTGCTTGCTTGCTTGCTTGCTTGCTTGCTTGCTTGCTTGCTTGCTTGCTTGCTTGCTTGCTTGCTTGCTCCTGATCGCTCTATCCCAACACGAAGCCCGGGAATCCGATACTGGTCCAAGGCTGAGGGATACACTAGTGGGGTGGGGCTGGGCGACACCAGGAGTGCCACGGTGGTGGCTAAGATAGCTCAGGGGGACCACCTGGGCCCCCTGTACCATCTTGTGAGAACCATCTGTTTTCTTCTCCTTCTTCCTCCTGTCGTCAGGAAGCAAGGGGACTAGACGCAGGCCCAAGGCTGGTGGAGAGGTTGATAGGGCTGGGCGACACCAGGAGTGCAGCAGTGGTGGCGAAGATAGCCCAGGAGGAGGTGGCGCACGTGGCAGTGGGGGTGGCGTGGTTTGTCTGGGTGTGCGAGCGCATGGGGGTGGACCCACACCTGTCCTTCACGAGTGAGTGATGTGTGCGCCCATGGGGGTGCGCACATGGGGGTGCGCCCATGGGGGTGCGCCCATGGGGGTGCGCACATGGGGGTGCGCCCATGGGGTAGCGCCCATGGGGGTGCTTGTGCGTGTGCGTGTCCAAGGGGGTGCATGTGTGTGTGAGCATGCGAGCGCATGGGGGTGGTCCCACACCTGTCCTTCGCCAGTGAGCGTTGCTGTGTGTGCATGCGCTTGTGCGGAGGGGTGGGGAGGGGAGGGGAGGGGAGGAGAGGGGAAGACGGGTGAAGGGCCCATTCAACCATGTATGCAGCATGTCCTAGCATAAACCATCTCTTCTCATCTGTCCATCCCATCTCCCCATCCCTCCAGCCGTGATCCGAGCCATATGTGCCGACGGGGTGAAAGGCCCCTTTCAACCACGCTGCACATGCTGACGTGTTATATTCCTCCATCACCCATCCTTTCTCCCCATCCCTCCAGCTGTGATCCAAGCCCTGTGTGCCGACGGGGTGAAGGGTCCCTTCAACCATGCAGCTCGTGCCACAGCCGGCCTGCCACGCCATTGGTACGACCCCCCAGCACCGCCCACTGCTGCTGCCCTGCTCGATACAGTCACATCCGGCACTGCTGCCACTGTCACGCCTGCTTCAGTCACACCTGCCGCGGCCACATCAGCTCATGCCTCGTCCACATCAGCTCATGCCTCGTCTGCAAGATCATCTAGTGGAGGGACAAAGCAGGGGGGGTAGATTGATGGTGGATAGACAGGCCAAGAAGCAGCAAGAGGTGGGCAAAAAATGGAGAAAGCTTATGAGCGGGCAGGTGAATCGGGCAGCCCGGGAAAAGATGCGGGATCAACTGCAGAGGAAGGCGTCTCGCATCGAGGCCCACATCCAACGGTGCCAGATGCTCCTCCAATCAGACTCTGCCACGTCATCACCCTCCTCCTCTCCTTCCTCCTCCTCCTCCACTTCCCCATCTTCTTCCACATATCCCTCCGAGGAAAGCTGTCACGCTTCTCCCTCGAATCCCCCATGCGCTTCCCAAGAGCCGCTTTCTGCAAAAGTTACAGAGGGGGTCTCAGCGTCACATCCCCCTTACAAGCTGTCTCGCCAAGTGAAGCAGGACTTGCAGGCCCAGCACAGCCACTCCCAGGAGCAGCTTAAAGAGGTGAGCCTGGACTCTTGCTTCCTCCCCCAAACTCTAAACACCTCCACACTCCTACCGTGTCTTCTGTTGCCCTCTGAGTGAGTGGTAACCACATATTTCCTTCCCTTCTCCTTCCCTCTCCCATCTGGGCATGTCAAGTCCATTGTACTAGGATCGATTGCAGTATGGAATGGCATCCCTCTGCTGGCGCATTCCATGCTGCCCCACCATGCACAGTACAGTAGTCTGTGTGCTGTGGTATCTCTTAGAATAGCAGAATGAATAGAATCTTGACAGTATCCTCCTGATCGTTCCCTCCTCGCATTCCCAACCCCTTGATTTTTCAGGGTGTTTTTGAGAATTCTCAAAAACACCCTGCAAAATAGCAGAATGAATAGAATGTTGACAGTATCCTCCTGATCGTTCCCTCCTCGCATTCCCAACCCCCCATTGCTTCCCCTTCCTTTTTTTAGGTGCACCGGCGCTTGGCCTTGCTCATCTCGTTTGAGGACCACAGAGTGTAATGAATGAGTCTGTTTTTTAGTCGACTCTCAAAACACAAACTCATTACACACGGTGCACCAGCGCCCGCCTGGCCTTGCTCTCATCTTATTTGAGGGCCATTGAAATTCAGCTGCTTAACCTTTTGAAGAATTTGAACTTGTGTTGTTCTCCTGCAATTCAAACTATCCCTTGTAGTTGCCGTGCTGCGGGGCACGGCGAACCAACCCAATATAGGACAACCACAGAATAATTCTGTTCAACCAAGGGCCTTACTCACACACAACCCATCCAGACAAAACCGTGTGAATTTCAACACCTTTGGCTTGCCCTTCGGCTGGAGCCTCGCCGACCAGGCCTAGCCTAAGACCGGGCCTTCAAATGCCTGCAAGACCAGGTAATTGTTCTTTCTAAGCATACATGAGTCTACTCTACGCAACCAGGTTTCAACGCTGAGCCATACAGATACTCTGGTTTCCTGCTCCGGCCTTCTTTTTAGGCATCTCAAAAAGTAGATTCACAGCGCTACAGTGCACCCTTGTTGAGCTAGTGACGCAGACGAGTTGAATGGCCTCCATAATCGAATTGTAACAGGCTGTTGGCCTCCATAATTGAGTTGAAGGGCCTGTTGGCCTCGATAAAGAGCATCTGAGTCGAAGCGCACATGCAGTCAGAGGACCCGGCCCCACTCATGCGCTGCCAATTTCTGTGAAAAAAAACGTGGGCAGGGTGGTGGGAGATGGGGGTTGACACAGGAAGGGGGTATTGGGGCGTGGGAGAGAATGCAGAAGGATAATGCCCTGTTATAGCACATACCAGTGCAGGGTACTGCCTCAATATAAGCACACACTAACAGACGGTATTGCCTACAAGCACATACCAGCACAAGGTATTGCCTTGTTATAAGCACACACCAGCACAAGGTATTGCATCGCTATAAGCACATGCCAGCACAAGGTACAACCTCGTTATAAACGCATACCAGCCAAAGTACTGCCTCATATAAGCACATACGAACGAGGACAAGGTAGTGCCTTGCCATAAGCAAATCCCGCCTTCTTATAAGCACATACCAGCACAAGGCACTGCCCCGTAATTAGCACACCAGCACATCGCACTGCCTCGTTATAAGCACATACCAGCACAAGGTACTGCCTCGTTATAAGCACATACCAGCACAAGGACTGCCTCATTATAAGCACACACCAGCACAAGGTACTGCCTCGTTATAAGCACATACCAGCACAAGGTACTGCCTCATTGTAAGCACATATAAGCACAAGGTACTGCTTCGTTATAAGCACATACCAACACACAGTATTGCCTACAAGCACATACCAGCACAAGGTATTGCCTCGTTATAAGCACACACCAGCACAAGGTATAACCTCATTATAAACACATACCAGCCAAAGTACTGACTCATATCTTAGTTGCACTATACGCAAAAATTGGAGAGCGTATAGCGTATATACGCTATATGCTATACGAGTGTATGTACGCCATACGCTCGGCCGAAATTTCAAGGGCAGCCCGGCAAAAAAATCTGAGTTTTTTTTTTCTCGTCAATTCGCGAGTAGGCGAAACCAAACAGGGTGTCGCGAACTTGCGACACACCAAAATTTGCAGCAACCCCAAGTTCCAACCATTTCGCCCCCCTCCACCACACTGCACCCTACTGTCTCTACCCAACCCAACCACCCCTCCAAACTGCTCTCTTCCTCTCTCACAGCTATGTGCGCTAAACCTAGTTTAGTGCGTGTAGCGTAGCTTACCTTTACCAGCCCCATTCCCCACGGGCTTTAGGTCTTTTCCGTCCTTTAAGCTCGAAACCGCTTAGATTATAAGGTAAAGCCGTGGCGACGCCCCCGAGTCCGCCTGATGGCTCTGAAGCCTTGGCACGATGCTTATTTATTATGCCTAAGTCTATGTTTTCTGGTTGTTGTTGCAGTGGAACCGTTTGCTCCACATCCCCCTCTTCTCCCCCCTTTTTTCCCGGTGTTTTTGCCCCTGCCCGAAATTTATTTTTGCCTTCCCGGGATAGCGTATACATAGCGTATACAAGGTCCCAATCCAAGCGTATTGCGTATATACGCTGGCATATATACCACCATACGCCCATGGTGCAACTAAGACTCATATAAAGCACATACCAGGACAAGGTACTGCCTTGCCATAAGCACATCCTGCCTTCTTAAAAGCACATACCAGCACAAGGTACTGCCTCGTTATAAGCACATACTAGGACAAGAAACTGCCTCGTTATAAGCACATACCAGGACAAGGCACTGTTTCGTTATTAGCACACCAGCACAACGCACTGCCTCGTTATAAGCACATACCAGCACAAGGTATTGCCTGTGGAGGTCCACGGCTCGTTTGCAGAGCTTCTTCACATCCCACGACCCTGCTGCTGCATTGAAGAACTGAGATGCACACCGGGTGGGGCGGGGGGGGAGGGGGTGGGGGAAGGAGGGGGAGGGAAGGGGTGGGGGAGCGATAAGGGTGAGGGGAGAATGATCCTATTGAGCCTGTGTTCATGTCCGATGACCCCGCTGCTGCGTTGAAGAACTGAGATGCACACCGGGTGGGTGGTGGGGGGGGGAGTGGGGGGGAGGAGAAAGACAGGAATGACAGGGGCGAGAGGGACGAGAGGGATCAGATGAGGTGTTTGCAGTTTCTGCTTCTTCACAACTCACGACCCCGCTGCTGCGTTGATGCTGTGAAACACAGAGGGGAGAGAGGATGCCAGAACGACTTTTGAGGTGCCTCAAAAGTCGACCCCGCCGCTGCTGCTGCGTTGACGCAGTGAAACACGCAGGGGAGAGAGGATGCCAGAACGCATACCAGGGCCATGGGACTATCACATGTGAGCTGCACATACGGCACTATCACATGTGTTGAAACCTCCTCATTACAGCCCAATTCCTACCCTCCCCTTCATCCCCCCTCCACCCTTTCCTCCCTTTCTCCCACTTGCTTCTCACATAAAAACACATCGTCCAGTCCCTACGCCCCACCAATCAAGTCATCCCGGAGCTTGAGCACGGCGCGAGCACACACACGGTGGTCACGCGCTCCTGCTCCTCCCTCCTTGTTAACTTCCTAGCCCCACCCCCCCCTTTTTACACTCACATCGACCACGTCATCCAGTCCTTGGGCCCCATCGATAAAGTCATCCCTCAGTTTAAGCACGATCGCCAGCACACAGAAGGTCATCATGTGCTCCTGCTCCTCCCTCCTCACGTACGGCACCGCCACTCCCGCTGACTTTTGACTCGACTCAAGAATGATATCGCACCTTCACACCTAGCGAAACACACACTCCCCAACCCAGCTCCCCTTACCGAGCCCCCCCCCTTATACTCACATCCACCACATCATCCAGTCCTTGGGCCCCATCGATAAAGTCATCCCTCAGTTTAAGCACGATCGCCAGCACGCAGAAGGTCGTCATGCGCTCCTGCTCCTCCCTCTTCACATACGGCACCGCCACGCCCGCTGACTCCGGGAGCAAATAGAACGCCGACGGCTGCGGGGGAACTATGGCCCCCGCCTCCTCTGCTGCCGCTGCTGCTGCTGCCGCCGCTGCTTCTGCTGCCTCATGTGCTGCTGCTGCTGCGCTGCCGCCCTCCCTGCTAGCAGCCCCAGGCTGGTCAGTCATTATGGTATCCGTCACGTGCTGCTGCTGCTGCTGCTGCTGCGGCTCTGCTGCAGTGCTTTGGCACGGTGGTGCGGATGCAGCGGATGCAGCGGCTGCGGCAGCAGCGGCTGGAAGCGCCGTGTGTTTCTTGCTGCCTTTCCTTCCCAACCCGAACGACCCCGTCCGCCTGTGCATCTTCTTCACTCCCTCTGCCCCGCCCGCCCCACCTGCCCCACCACCCCCCTCTCTACCCTCCCCCTGACCGCCAGAATCACCTGCCCCAGATCTACCTGCCAGCAGCCCGCCCAGGCTCTTTCCCAGGGGGCTCCTGTGGGTTCTCCCGTCCCCTGCAAACCCTGGCCTAGGAGGCACCTGCAGCTGCTGCGGCCGGGATGTACCAGAGGAGGGACCACCAGCAGCACCAGCGGCACCAGCAGCACCACCGCCACCAGCACCAGCAGCAGCATAAGACGGTGTGATTGGCCGGCCGGCTAAGGCCGAGACGGCAAACGCCACAGGGTCAGCAGGCATAACAGCAGTAGCAGCTACCGTCCCCACGGGCCCAGCGAGCTTCTGTGCTTTGTGCCACAAAGCCACGGCCGACCGCCTTGAGGAGAGGTACTTGGCGCTTTTGCTGGCAGCAAGCTTACCTGCAGAGGCGTCTAGAGTGACGTATCTGATCACGTCCTTTCTGTACGGGCCTACGCCCGCCCAGCTGCGGGAGCGAGCGCCCTCGATGGCGTGGCTTTTTGTGGTGTTACTGGGGTTGATGGCGGTGGTGGTGGGGTTGCGTGCGCTGTGGCTGTTTCGGGTGGGGAGTGAGGGCGTGGTGGCACGGGAAAGGGCACCAGCAGCAGCAGATGTGTTCTTTCTGCCGTCGGTGAGAGCGCCTGATGTCACTGCTGCTTCTACAGACGCCCAAGCGGACGCAGTGGACGATCTTGTGCCTGGAGGTGGTGGGATGGGTTGATGGGGTGAATATTGACATGATTTGGTGACAAGCATGCTGCACCCCTGAGGTTACAGCTGCTACTACAAAAGACCCAGCGGACGCAGTAGACGATCTTGTGCCTGGAGGTGTTGGTATGGGGTGATGAGTAGATGGGTTGATGGGTTGATGGGGTAATGGGGTGATGGGGTGATGGGTTGATGGGATGATGGGGTGAACATTGTTATGATTTGGTGACAAGCATGCTGCACCCCTGAGGTCACGGCAGCTTCTACAAAAGGCCAAGCCGAAGCAGTAGATGATCTTGTGCCTGGAGGTGCTGGCATGGGGTCATGGGAGGGAGATGGGATGGTGAGATGGTGGGAAGGATGGATGATGGGATGATGGGGTGATGGGGTGATGGGGTGATGGGATGATGGGGTGATGGGGTGATGGGATGATGGCATGATGGGGTGATGGGGTGATGGGATGATGGGGTGATGGGATGATGGGGTGATGGGGTGATGGGGTGATGGGATGATGGGGTGATGGGGTGATGGGATGATGGGATGATGGGGTGATGGGATGATGGGGTGATGGGGTGATGGGGTGATGGGGTGATGGGATGATGGGGTGATGGGGTGATGGGGTGATGGGATGATGGGGTGATGGGATGATGGGATGATGGGGTGATGGGGTGATGGGGTGATGGGGTGATGGGATGATGGCATCATAGGGAAGATGGGATGGCATGACTAGGAAACGAAGATGCATTTGTTGCACCCGCCTTGATAGCTTTGCACTGGCATCCCGCATTACCATACACCATGATGTGGGACGCCATGCCATGCCACGCCATGCCATGCCATGCCATGCCATGCCATGCCAAGCCATGCCATGCCATGCCAAGCCAAGCCATGCCATGCCATGCCATGCCAAGCCATGCCATGCCATGCCATGCCAAGCCATGCCATGCCATGCCATGTCATGCATTTGCATGTGCATTACGCGGCATCACAGATCACCTCACTCACATATCACGTCACTTGACTACCCTGCCCTGACCCCCTACCTTGTCTCAAAGGACTCTTCCCCCCCACATCCTCCGTATGAGCATCCTCCATATGCGTATCTGTACCATCCCCTCCGCCCTTCCCCTTGGGAGACTTTTTCCCACTCCCTGTTGGAGAGATGGGCGGCTTGCCTTCCCCCACTCCCTCTCCTCCCCCACTCTTTCCTCCTCCTCCTCCCTTCCCTTTCCCCCCATCCTGCTCCTCCTCCTCCCCGCCCCCAGCCCTAGTCACCACAGCAGCGGCAGCAGCGCTGGCAGCAGCCTTGGCAGCATCGGACGGCATGCCAACGACCCCAGAGCCCTCGGAGGAGGTGACAGCAGCGGCAGCTTCGGCAGCGGCGGTGGTGGCGGCGGCAAAAGAGGCTTGGTCGAGGGCGTGGGGGGAGAGGACGGAGTGCGAGAGGTGCATGGTGTGGTGCAGCACGGACTGGTCCGCCATGGCCAATAAGTCAGCGTCCCTGGCATCATAATCCCATGACCACATCATCTGGGGAAAGGGAGGGCATGTGGGGAAGGTGAGGGCGTGTGGGAGGAGAGGAGAGGGGAGAGGAGGGAGTGTGAGAGGTGCGTGGCATGGCCAGGAGGTCGGCATCACGGGCGTCATAGTCCCACGACCACATCATCTGGGGAAAGGAAAGGGAGGGCGGGGCATGGGGGGAACATGCCCCGCATGGGGCGTCGAGGAAAGGCGGGGAGTGGGGGGAGGGCAGGGAACAAACCAGACAACAAGACCACAAGGGGCACATAAGCTGGGAGTAACTTCCTCAAGAGAAGTTGATCAAACATAAGCAGTGCTCTCAAAACAGACTGTTCCCCCCAAAATAGCCTGTTTTGTTTTGGCCTTCCAAAGTGTCAGTGCCTCGTAGAAGTAGATGTAGCCTGGGAAGGAGATCTCTCGGATGATAAGTTGATAACTGCACCCAAGGCACCATCCTCCAATAACCGGCAGTTGGTCCTAAAAAGGACAAAACACACATACCTCCCAGAAGTAGATGGAGTCGGCAAAGGACAGCTCCCGCCGGAACATGGCCATGATGGGCCGCACCGTGAAGAACATGGAGCCCGCGCCGATCTCGTCTGCAGAGGGAAGGGGGGGGGGAGAGAGAGGGGAGCATGCAGCATGATAAAAGGGGGGAATGAAGGGGGAATGAAGCATATACTCATGGCCATGATGGACCACACGTGAAGAACACGGGCAAATGGGTCAAGGCAGAAGGCAGAAGGCAGAAGATAGGGAGTGCATGCAGTATGTACCTACCTAGGTGAGCGTAGAGCTCGGGGTCAAGCACTCTGGTGATGTTCTTGAGATTGCATCGCAGCACATGTCTGGGAGCAAATATGGCCGGGAGCACAATACCTACGACCTACCGAGACAGGTCAGTACCTAGGTGGGCGTAGAGCTCGGGGTCGGGCACTCTGGTGATGTTCTTGAGGTTGCACTAGTAAGCGAGCAACAGGAGCAGTGCGTAAGAGAGCAACAAGTGAGTGAGACACACCACAAGGCATGGCATTGCACTCACCTAGGTGAGCGTAGAGCTCCGGGTCGAGCACTCTAGTGATATTCTTGAGGTTGTCAATCTCCTTCTGCACGCCGATGCTGGCCGATGTGCCCATGAAGTCGCTCCGCTGGTGGGCAGAGGCGTGACAAGCACAAGGTAGGGACGAGACAAGGAGATAAGCAGTCCACCCAACAATCGGTTAGTTGCCTCTCAGAAGCAGCGAAGCACGGATTGGAGCCAGTAGACTTCCTTCTCACCTCACCCCCCTTCCCCTTTGCTTTGACATACAGGGGAACGCTAGAGATCCCCTCCCCCTCCCCCTCCCCCCCCCGCTCCCCCCTCCCGCCTACACCCTCCCCCTTGGACCTACAATGGGGCGCATGAGGCGCTCAAAGCACCAGAAGGCATCGGCGTTGTTGGGGAAGGTGACGATGAAAGGCGACATGAGGTCACTCATGCCTGCACCCGATGGGGGGAAAGAAGCGGGGGGGCAGTGTTGGATGCAAGGGGCATGAGACAGAGGGGAAGGTGACGATGAAACGGGACATGAGGTCGGTCATGCCTGGAGTGTGGTGGGGAGGGGACGCAGGGCGACAGAGGGGTTGGAAGGGGGGAAGAGGCATGAGACAGAGGGGAGACGATGAAGGGCGACAGGAGGGGACAAGAAGAGGCATGGACAAGAGGTCGCTCATGCCTGCAATGTCTGCAATGACGACGAGGGGAGGTAGTAGAAGGGAAGGGAGGGAAGGAGGGCAAGGGTTGGTGGAAGACGCCTGAGACAGAGGGGAAGATGGCGATTCAGGGCGACACGAGGTGGCTCTCATCTCACCTTGGCAGTACCCCACTTCAGGGTCGAGCCACGAGTACACAGCCAGCACCTCCCTGAGCCGCGACCTGTTCCCCTCCTCCTCGAGGAACACCAGCGTGCGGTCCGCCCTCTTTACGTCCTTTAGTAGCTGTCCCAACAAAGCAATTGACGCACCTTGGCAGTAGTAGCCCACTTCCGGGTCGAACCATGAATAAACCGCCAGCACCTCCATGAGTCTTGATCGGTTGCCTTCCTCCGCGAGGAACACCAGCGTGCGGTCCACCCTCTGCACGTCCACGCCTATCTGGTGCAGCCCCATCCGTTCACCAGAGCAGCCTTAACCAGTTGACAAGTACAGCCCCAACTGCTGACACACACTCAAACGCGTCTCACCTTGGCAGTACCCCACTTCCGGGTCGAACCATGAATAAACCGCCAGCACCTCCATGAGTCTCGACCTGTTGCCCTCCTCCTCGTAGAACACCAGCGTGCGGTCCGCCCTCTGCACGTCCACGCCTATCTGGTGCAGCCCCAGCCGCCACTTGCGGATGCGCTCCTCCCCCACCCTCCGCACCAGCTTCTGCCGCGCCGTCAGCACCGGGCTCTGCCCCTCCCCTCCCTCCCTCCCCCCCCCTCCTTCCCTCCCTCCACCATTCGCCTCACGATCACCACCACCACCACCACCAGCACCACCAGCACCGGTACCATCAGCAACAGCACCAGCAGCAGCAGCAGCAGGAGTGGAGAGGGTGTCAATATCAGGGCCTTGGTAGTAGGAGGGCACGGGCACGTTGGAGCCGTCCTCCAGCACGCGAGGGAAGTCCACCACGACCCCACTGCCCACCACCGGGTCAATCTCGTTGCACTCGTGCTTCAGGTGCGCGTAGAAGTTCCTGAAAGGTTGTGGGGGGTGTGGGGGGGTTTGGGGGGGCGGGGGGGGAGGGGGGGAGCAGAAGGGGGTTAAAGGGCTGGGTGAGGGGCTGCAGTGGGAGGAGAGGGAGAAGTCAACCACCACCCCGCTGCCCACCACCGAATGAACCTCGTTGCACTCGTGTTTCAGGTGCGCGTCGAAGTTCCTGGGGGGTTGGAAGGCAAGGGGGGGGACGGGGGGCCGGTTGCAGTGGATATTGGAGGGGAAATAAATGACGCCGCTGCCGACCACCGGGTCAATCTCGTTGCATTCGTGCTTCAAGTGCGCATACAAGTTCTTGGCGTGGCTCACATGCGGGCTCACAGCTCACCTGCGGGCTCACAGCTCACCTGCGGGCTCACAGCTCACCTGCGGGCTCACAGCTCACCTGCGGGCTTCCCTCATGGCGTCCCTCTCCTCGTAGTAGGTGCTGTTGGGCGAGGAGAGCCTTCAACAACTGCTCCCAGCTGCTCCATGTTCTCATCTCGCACCTGTGGTTTGCGTCTTTCTACCGTCCTCACATCTCACCTGCGTGCTCACACCTCACCTGCAGGCTTCCCTCATGGCGTCCCTCTCCTCGTAGGTGCTGTTGGGCGAGAAGGGCCCTCAATGAATGCTGCTCTGCACCCTCGCTTCTCACCGCTAGGTTGCGTCTACCATGCTCTCAGCTCACCTGCGGGCTTCCCGCATGGCGTCCCTCTCGTCGTACGTGCTGTTGGGCGAGAAGAGCCCCAGGAGAAACGGCCACACCTCCGATCGAATGCTCGGCTCTATGCCCTGGCGGCGGGAACGAGTGAGAGGGATGAGTGAGAGGTCGAGTGAGAGGGATGGGATGAGTGAGAGAACGAGTGAGAAAACGAGTGAGAGAACGAGTGAGAAAACGAGTGTGAGAACGAGTGAGAGAATGCGGGGGAGAACGAGTGAGAGAGACTAGACCAACAGGGAAGAGGAAAAATAGGGAGAGGGGGAGGGGGGGAACAGAAGGACATCATTGCCCTACCAGTACATGACGAGGTGACTTTTGAGTCGACTCAAAAGTCACCTCGAGAGACTAGACCAACAGGGAAGAGGAAAAAGAGGGAGAGGGAGAGGGAGTGAACAGAAGGACATCATTGCCATACCAATACGTGTGTAATGAGTCGATTTCTGAGTCGACTCAAAAATCGACTCATTACACACGGATCATTGCCATACCAATACATGACGTACATGCCATGCAACCAGCACCATGCCATGCGACTCGCACCATGCCATGCGACTCGCACCATGCCATGCGACTCCACCATGCCATGCGACTCGCACCATGCCTGCCATGGAATGAGCACATCGTGCCATGGGTATTATGAACCCGCACCATTCGTCCGTCCCATGCTAGATCCCCCCTTGTACATAATACCCACCAACGCCCCCTGTAAGCGTTTCAGCGCCCACCCCTCGTTATAAACGCACATCCCTTGCTAACCACTCATCCCTCGCTGTCTGTGCCAGAACCCACCCCTCCTCATAAGCACCCACCCCCCGCTATAAGCACCCACCCCTCGCTGTATGTGCTTGAGCGCCGCATCTATGGCCCACACCCGGCCGAACTCGTCCAGACACGCCTCCCACCTCTCCTTTGACAGCCGCTTCTTCACCTGCAGTGTGATAGTAACGGGGGCTAAGTGAGAGATTACAATGTGCGATTATACCGAAGTCCCGAAGCTCCAGCACCAATGGCCCACACCCAGCCGAACTCGTCCAGGCACGCCTCCCACCTCTCCGCTGATAGCCGCTTTTTCACCTGCATGCCGTGTGTGATAGTAACGGGGTTGCAATGAGAGAGAGGGAGCGATGAGAAGAGCGAGTGGAGGGGAGTGGAAGGGGGGGAGGGGGATGGGGGGGAAGAAGATTTGGGATGGAAGCATGACGAGGAAAATGTACTGATGCTAAGTCCTTAATGCTGACGGCCTGGCGTGATTGTCGGCTGGTATTGGCTGACTGACGGTCTGGTATGACTGACTGACGGCCTGATGGGTTGGCTGATGGCTTGGCGATTTTTACTGACGGCCTGATAAAAATAGTTGACGGTCTGGTATAATTGCCTGACGGCCAGCGTGCTTGACTGACGGTCCGAGGTGGTTGATGGATAGCCGTTCGCTGCTGATTGACGGCCCGGTAGGGTTCCGGTTGAGCGGCCTGAAAATGCACGAAATGGGTCAGAATGGCTCGCTCATTCTTCTCCCCTAAGTGCCTTCTTTTTTCTTTCTTCTCCTCCCTTTAAGAATTATTTATTTCTCCTTACCCGCGGACGGAACTTGCTGACTTGGCTGACATCAACATCCTTCCTAACGGGGTACTCCTGGTCCAGATCCTCCGATACACGCGACCCCTTTATAAGCCGCGAGAAGAAAGACATTGTAGCTGGTCCTCCACAAACCAGACTAATAACCCACAGATCCAACCGTGCGCCTGGTAAGCTTTACGAGCTAAGCCGAGTTAGCCACTCAGACCCTGACGCTTCTAAGACGTGTATTCCTCGTCATCGTTGCTGCTCTACAAGGCTGCCACGAGAGCACGCGACTTGTCCTGAACTCTTTACATAATCAGGACATGCGTCGTCCGAGATATTTCGCCAACGATTTGCGAATGGCGATAGATACGGTCGTTGCTAGCGAAGCTCGACTCATATAACGTGCACGTCTCGGTTCTCTTCGCGAATCGCGGAAAGGGCAGAATCGCCTCTACGAACCTCAACTACAACGGTCACTTGTTCTACAGTCCAAGAGCCTGGAGAACCAGCTGACAGACTTTGCTGCAGCTGATGTGGTTCTATCTAGAAGATGATGCTGTTTTGCTGCTGACATGGCTGGCTTATTAATCTGGCTCGGACGTTGGAATGGGATGGGATGGGATGAAATGGGATTGGATGGGATTGGATGGGATGGGGTGGGGTAAATGAAGGCAGAACAATATGGCGCTTCGAGGCTGGTTGGCTGCTCGTGTCAGTGGACGGTTGCCTGCCTACAGCGCATACGATGCCTATGTCCTCCCAGTCTGCCTACTGCAAGGGAAGTGAGTGACGCACGTCGAACAGCGAGAACCGCGGATACACTGTTCTAACCATCCGTTAAATCAATTTCAGCTGTACTCGAGGAATAGATATGACAAGCCATTCCGCAACAACTACCTACTTAGTCGGACATAGTTTCTAGTCTCATGAGCCTAAGTCGCACAAAGTATGGCACTACTGGCGTTGTTGTTAAGAACATCCTTGCGAGCTTGATCTAGGATGCATTCGATGGCTTTCTTCCATTCACTCGTGCTTCGCTGCTTCATTTAATGTTGCCACTGGGACAGGTCCAAGTGGAGAAATGTCCACTGGGCTCTGGGCTCCACTCCCACTTTCTGAACCATGAAATGGAGATGGCAGCACACACTGCACACACAAAACGAAAGTAGGAATTAGTACGAGCAATAACATTCTGACACCAAACGTCCAACGTCCAAGCCTGACCGAGAACGTGGACTTACATTTGGAGATGCTCTGAAATGCATAAGAGCAAGTTGCCCCATCTTCGCTCCTGCACCAGACACCAAGCGTCCAGCGTCCTTCCCATCCACAATAACCAGCTCCTCGTTACAGCCCCTGCTGACACCAACCGGTGGCCCCACCTCCTTTCCTGCACCCGATTCTGCCTGCAAAGCAATGACTCTGTTGGCAGCACCCTGCCCCCCTTGCTTCTGTGCATCCACGTCCATTGGAGCAGTGCAGATGGGCTTGTCCCCATTCATAAGCGTAGCAGCTGCCATGTCACTCACAGTCATGCTGCACAACACAAGGAGCACACACAAGCAGATGTTTAGGGATCAGAAATGTTGGAAATGAAACCACCAACCATAGGCCCAGCGACAAAGGCTTCACTTACTTGTTAGCGTTGATAGATCCCTGCTGTCCTCCGCAGCTGGGCACTTGCACTGACGCCTGCACGTACTGTCCTTGCTGCTGCTGTGGAGCCGAACCAGCAGCAGCACCGGCAGCAGCACCAGCAGCAGTACCAGTAGAAGGCGGGGAAGCAAGTGTGACAGGAGGCGTGTAGGTCCCAACTTGGGTTAATTTCGGGTCTGGCTGCACCACAGATACGACTTCAAGCAGGGACCCAGTCACAGGGGAACTAGCAGGCAACCCTTGCTGATGATGCTCAAGCTGCTGCTGTAACTGCTGCTGGTTCTGCTGCTGGTGGTTCTGCTGCTGTGGCACCTGCTGAGAGTGGCCCTCCACAGCATGAGCAGGCGGTGGGAGAGCAAGCGGAGGCGGGTGGCCTCCAGCCACTGCCCCTGTGGGCACCGAAACCACAGAAACGACATCTGCAGGCACAGGAACTGCAGAAGCCACAGCCGTGGACACACAGACGACACCTGCGGGCACAGAAGCCGCACCAGCAGCAGAGGTCGCCAGCACAGCGTGAGACTGGTCCCCCTCCCTCCTCCTATCTCCCCCTCCCACCGTCCCACACTTCTCCCCTCCACTCCCCTCCACTCGCTCTCCCTCATCCCATGCACAAACGCCATTCTCCCGTCCTGCCGCATGCTCCGCCAATGCAGAAACAGTGTCGCCACCACTATTGCCACTCGATGCAGTGACTGTCCTGTCAGCAACCCCGCCACCCCCACTGTTAGCCCCCATCCCCCTACCTGCACTGGCGTCCATCGCACCAGTGCTAACGCCCCGCCCATCGTCCACCGACTCCATCGCTCTGACTCCATCACTCGTAAGACACCCATCTGCAGCAGAGGCGCCCTGCGTCCCACCACTGCCAACGGTGCCTGTGGTGGCCGTGGTGGCGGTGGTGGCAGTGGTGGCTGGGGTGGGGTCCCCCTCGTCAGCCACGAGGGAGGTTCCGGGCGTGGCCTTGTCGTTGAGCTTGCGTGCGCGGTTGCGGCCGCGGTGCAGGTGGCGCTCGCAGTACTTCTGGTCCGCCACCACCTGATGCACGAGAGCAGGACCGAAAATAGGAGAAAAAGGTGAGGACCGAATACGAAATCCCAATGCACGAATAGAAATGGTTTTTGGCGAACAGAAATCTCTTTGCGTGAAGGAGGAACTGTGATCGAGTGAATGAGCTCTGCCAGTGAAATGACATGGGCTTGGGTGTGCTCCTGGGGAGGTGAGAACGACGAGAAACGCACCTCTCGGGCGCATCTCCACTTCTTGCCGTCTGTGCGGCGGCACCTGAACGGCTCCAGATCCACTTGCATCGACGGCCCCCAGAACGCTGCACGCACACATGGAGTAACATTTGAAGCCGTCTTCATAAGCGCACAAATATCGCAATCGCGAAGCAGTAACGCGCTGCGAAGGGCGCAACTCGGAACAGCACACAGAGAAAAAAAAAAACGACCACGATGATCGCATAAGGCTGCGGTTAGAACTCCTGTTTCGGCACACATACATGGCATGAAGGCTCCCATAGGGTGGAATGCCTGAAGGCCGAACGCCAGCGGCGGCATGGACACGCGCAGGCGGGAAACGAGCTCCAGCGGGACAGGCGCTCCCGCGACGAGGTACTTGAATATGAGCGCCTGCTGCTCCAGCTCCTGCCACTGCGCCACCGTGAACGGCCCGCACGCGCCCGATTCCACTGCGAACGGAACGCGCAATTCCAGGAAAGTGAGTCAGACGGAAGGATCACGAGAAATTGCGAGCGAGGAAGACGAACGGTGGCATTAATCCGCACGGGAATCGTTGAGGGAGTATGGGAGTCGTGCAACGGAGAGGACCGCGGGACGCTCCGCGGCTACTGCGTACCTTGCATTGGAGCCTGGCTTGGGACGTGAGAAAGCATTTGCGCCGCCTGCATAGGCGTCGCTTGCATTGGCGTCGCCTGCATCTGCGGCTGCGGCTGCGGCTGCGGCTGAGCCATCGGTTGAAATTGTGGCTGGGGTGGATGAGGGCTTATTTGCATCTGACCTCCACCAACAGACGCAACAGGATTGTACTGAGGAGGCGCTGCTGCTGCTGCTGGCGCTTGGTTCTGGTACTGAGGTGCCGGAACTTGAGAGGAATAGATAGGCTGCATCGGTTGCGGCTGCTGCTGCTGCAGTTGCTGCTGCTGCGGGTTGCTTTGAGACTGCAGGAATTGCTGTTGCGGCTGTGGTTGCGCTATCAGAGGTGGAGTGATTAATGGTTGAGGAGCCGCAGACTGTTGGGGGAGCGCCGTTGGCGCAGGTGCTGCCTGAGAGGGTTGCATCTGAGGCTGATGCATCTGGTAACTCGGTTGTGCTTGAGGCTGGTGAGCTGGCTGATACTGCTGTTGCTGCGGCTGCGGCTGCTGCTGGTATGCATTCGGTTGAGCCACAGGTGCTGGCTGCTGCTGCTGCTGGGCGTACAGATTTTGCTGCTGATACTGCAGCTGCGGCTGTTGTGGCTGCTGTGCCTGGAAGTTTGCCTGCGGCTGATGTTGCGACTGGGTCTGGTAGACTTGTTGCTGCTGCGGTTGTGGCTGCTGCTGAAGTTGCGATTGTGGCGGGTACGTTTGCTGGTGCGACTGATAAGCCTGCTGCTGCGGCTGAAATGATTGCTGCTGCGTCTGGAAAGTCTGCTGCTGTGGTTGTTGCGTCTGCTGATACATCACCGGCTGCTGGTACTGCTGGGCCTGCTGCAGAGTTACTTGCTGAGGCTGCTGCTGATATTGCATTTGCGAAGACTGATAGTTGCTTTGTGGCTGCTGTTGCTGTGCCGGATGCTGGGGTTGCTGAACAAGAGCTCGCTGCTGATTGGAGCTCTGCTGCTGGAAAGGCGGCTGACTAGACGCCATTTGCTGACTCAGAAAAGCAGGCTGCTGTTGCTGTTGCTGTTGCTGTTGCAGTTGCTGAGATTGGTTCTGCCAGTGCTGAACTGGTTGTGTTTGAGCTTGATTGGGAGCCATGAACCGTGTCGCTTGTTGCTGCTGCATAACACCCTTGAGTAGCTCGAACCTGTGGCTGAGAAGAAGGCTGCTGCTGCGTCTGACCTTGATGCTGCTGCTGCTGCTGATGTCAAGCTTCCGAAGATGCACCCTTGAGCCGGTATAGGCTTCTGGAAAAATCTCAAGTTAGGATGGTGTGCAACAACTTCAATCAGCAAACGAAGAGGAGTGCCATGAAACAGCCGTAGAGGTAATCTTTACCCTGTTTCAGCCCTGGGTGCCTGACAGGAAGGACGGATGTTGCCGTGTGATGTAGATGTTGGTTTGGAGCCAACACGTTGGCGAAGCACTGCTTTCTCGGCGCCTGAAAAGCCGAGCTTAGAATAGAAAAGGGATATCCTACAGCACGGGAAGTAACGACTACCTATAAACGCAATGCTCACCATATAGCTCGAATAAACGATGCGAGCGAGGGTAGCGCTTGAGAAACTACACTGCCTTCGCCCTAGTCGCAGCGGCGTTCAACATAACTATGGTAGTGATCATAATAAGTTACATATCTAACGACGGTTTGCAGAGTTAAAATTGTCAAAATGGAAGCTTGATCTCGTTCTGACATCCAGAAGTATTCAGCTGGTCAGCAGAGAAGACACCTGGTTGCAGGCAGAAACTATGAACGATACTAGCCTTTCTACGTTCTGATAGGTCATGCAAACGGTTCAGGAACAGACAGAACGGTCAGAAGAGGCATCAGGCGAGCGACTTGATCATGGAGCTAAGACCAGGGGTCCATGGCATTCACTGGTCACTTCTGCTTCTAAAATGTTGTAGTTTCGTACGCCTGCTGTCAGATGTGGCTCATTCCCGAAACTCCCTGTGCCTGCCGAAACTGCAGGAGATGGCAGAGGAGCATTCAGGCAAGGGGGGGAGA